GCCAGATTTGTTTTCAAAGAGAAAACATATATGTGCTCACTTGGCAGACTTTCTCACTGATATATGTGCTCATTCCAATTTATCCTCCCTAGTTCTGGGAACCCAAGCCTGCTTTAAACCACTGAATGAGATTGCCAAGCCTTGTCTAATACAGCAGAGATGGAAGTCATTTAAGTGATGGAGGGGTAGACAAATCCACACATAATTGGGTGTGTACACATGCCACACATTAGAGAACACTCCAGTTGGTTGTGATGATACAAAGCATCTTTCAACAGTAGGGTGTTAATGCTCAGAATTTTAAAACTTCTGATTATGTCTTTTTCCTTTGAAGAGCTTCTGAGGACAGTAAGTGTTCATGCGTTCTTATTTAGCAGGTGGGCTTAAATTAGGCCCTGTGCTAGTCACAGAGACAGTCTTTGTCATCGAAACAGTCTATAGCTAGACCGTCACTAATGGCAGAAGGCAATGCCTCTCCTCCCAAAGAACTAAGCCCTAAGACATATATAGTGTTGTAATAAGGAGCAACGGGGCTGCGTCCCCAGCACCCCGGCCGCCTGCTAGCTTAAGCCCCAAAATAACAACACACAAACTGTATTCATTTAAACACTGCTTGGCCCATTAGCTCTAGCCCTTACTAGCCAATTATCGCACCTGGACTAGCCCATTTCTTATAATGTGTAGCACCGAGGTGGCTTACCTGGAAGATTCTAGCCTACATCCATCCTGGGTCGGAGCTTCATGGTGTGTGCCCCCGAGAGCTGAGCTATGGTGTCTCTCTGAGGCGTCTGGCCCTGAGAGGAGAGCTGTCGTGTCTGAGCTCACTTCCTCTTCCTCCCAGCATTCTGTTCTGTTTACTCCTCCCACCTATGTTTTAACCTATGAGGGCCAAGCAGTTTCTTTATTGCTTAACCAATGAAATCAACAGATTGATATATGACACTCCTACGTCAATATAGCATATTACAACCAACGTCTATGATACCTTTAGACAGTAGCCAGTTTCCTTAGGAGAACTGAGGAGGGTGTTACTTTTTTAAAAAGGTGTGTGTGTGTGTAACAGGTTCTGGAGACTTCCTTATAAATATTTCATTCATCTGTGTGGGTAAAGCCTGTATGGACCCTAGGAAATGCGCACAGGTTTTGGAAGAAGTGTTTCCTGTGCACTGTGGCTATTGAGACTCCCTTAACTATTTCCCACCTCCTGTAAAGTCGAATAGTGGTTCTTTTATAGAAGTGCCACAAATTTTTGAAAAAACTTTTCCCTGCTTACTGCCAGAGGGGTCAGTACTGTCCCCACTGAGAACCACGGGATCCAGAAGCCACCTATAAACAGACAGCAAAGAGCAACTGTAATGTGTACTGTTTTAGTATGGACAGGTGTTTTTCATAGAAATTCGAATTTTTGACTTGTGAGCGCCTTAACAACTGCCATGTGCTATCACAAATGCTAGCTTATTTTATTTAAAAACGTTAAGAATTTTAATTTTTGTGTGCATTTGCATGTGTATACACACGTACAGATATCCTTGGGAGCCTGAGAGAGTTTCAGATTCCCCAGACCTGGGGTCACAGGCATTTGTGAGCTCCCAAGGATGGGTGCTGAAAACCAAACTCCTGTATTCTGCAAGCACCCGTAACTGCTGAGCCATCTCTCCAGCCTCCTATGTGTTTACTTTAACGACTGTCCTGTCTGTTTCCATTGGCAAACTAGTAAGTGTCAGCAGTGTGTGCGGTGAATGGTAGGACAATTTAGTGCCAAGCAGCAAGAGTCCAAGTAGACTTTGACTGTGGAGTCCTGACTTCCCTTCTCTAGTATTAGGAAAGTTCTTGAGGAATGTGGAGAGGTCTCATATGTTGTGTGTTTTTCTGTTATCTCGCTCCAAACTAGTGATTCTCAACCCATGGGTCGTGACCCCTTTGGAGGTCAAACGGTCCTTGCATAGGGGTCACCTCTGTCTGATAATCTCATACTACAGAGCTTTGCATGTTATTCCAAGCACAGCAACTGAGGAAACAATATTTTGCAAACCATATTGGAGTTATAGCTAACCTAAATAGAGCTTGTAGCTCAGGCATCCTCTAAGCAATTTAATCTTGCTTTTATGAGATATATTCTATGTCTATTTCATACACCAGGAAATTGAGGCACAGAGGTAATGCAGCTTAGGGGTGGCAAATTGACAATTCACTAAAAGGAATCCAAACCACAGGGAAGTAAAGGAGACAGAGACTGAGTTCGAAACCAGCCTGGTCTACAGAGAGAGTTCCAGGACAGCCAGGGCTGTTGCTCAGAGAAACCCTGTCTCACAAACAAACAAGCAAACACACAGGGAGGGTCACAAAGACAGTGGGGAGAGCTAAGAGAAAACCTGAGGAACAAAGAAGGAAATAAAAGCAGAAGATGCCTGTGGAAACAGTTCCCACAGTCTCACTATTTCCGTGGACCTTGGAACACACCCAGTATCAGCTGGTATACAATTTATAGAAGATGTTTTCGGGGTAAAATGACACATTAAGCGAGCGGGATGTTCTGAAATAGCTTTTAGTGAGTGAACTGGTTCAGAGTGCTTACGGAAGCCCTAGATGACTAGTGCTAAAAACAAGCTGAAATTCAAATTCATTGGAGCTTGGTGCTAGAGATTGAATGTTTAAATTCTCAGGTGTGGGAGAGGCACCAAGTAAAGGGGGGCGGGTGGAAGAAACCAAAGATACGAACAAGAAAGAGCAAAAGTCTACAGTGCCCTCATTACAGGGGACTCCTGGCTTCCTTTCAGATCTAGAGGACCTGAAATGATCTACAGGGTCCAAAAGCCCTTGTGTCCACCACTCTTCCACAGTCTTAACAGGAAGGGGACATGGATAGCCCATCGTCCACAATCTCAAGTTTGCTCGCCATCCACTGGACAGGAGAGCAGTAACTCCTAGTATATAATTTATCTGCGATAAAATTAGCCTTTTAAAATGTGCGGGCATGTTAGCTTCTCAGCGTGACTTGCTTCCAAACACCACCTGGGATCTGCCCATTAAAACACATGTCCTAGAGAAATTTCCCTGCAACAGAAAACTAGGAAGTTTCAAGTAACAGTTTGCTGGGCCTGAATTTACCCCTGGTCATAGTGGACCTTAGAATAGTGTCAACCAGGGTCTCAGACCTGTTTAAAATAATGACTATTGTAGGCTTGGACCCATAGACTATCATAATCTTTTAATTCTTTTAACTGTCACAGGATAAAAGAATATGCCCTTCTTCAAAGTTCTGTCGGCATAAAAATATCAATTTCATAAAAATTTTCATGTGTCATGACTTTTTTACCAACCATTTAAATATAAACCACTCGTAGTGCTTGTGGGTTGAACTGCTCACTCCTCCAGCTCCAGGGGATTTGATGCCCTCTTTGGCCTCTGCCAGTACTTACACACATCTGTGATACACATGTGCACGTGCATGTGCAGAAATTAAAAAATTGAAAAGTAGGCTCAGTGAGTGAAGGTTTATGCTGTTGATCCCGACAGCCTGAGTTCAGTCCTCAAGGACCTACTTCGTGGCAGGACAAAACTGATTTCTTCAAGTTGCCCTCGTGTACCATGGCACACACACATATGCACACACATTATTTTTCTTTTTTTTTTTTTTGTTGTTCTTTGCTTGCTTTTTTTTTTTTAATTTATTTATTTATTAAGGATTTCTGCCTCGTCCCCACAACCGCTTTTATTTTTCAAAAAATGCTTAAAACTTCAAAAGCAGTTGGTAACTAGATTTGAGTCTCCATAGCTTGTCCACCCAATATAAACTAAGTTACTATGTCTGAGGGTAGAGATAACTAAACATTGAAAATGTCTAGGGTTATCAATTGTCCAAAATAACAGGACGTGCTAAGTGTGTAAAAAACAAAAAAAACTTTTTTTTTTAATCATTGAAGCTTTGCTTTAGATACCGTAGGATGTCAAGAGGAAGGAGAAACCTTTCTTTTAAGAAACTGAAATAACTGAGACTGTTCTTGATCTCCGTTGACGTCATGTAATAGTCACATTAGTTCCCCCTCTCCCCCAGGGAAAACAAAATGAAGGGGAAAACTGCAAGTGGATAACCAGGGCCAAGGTAAAAGTCTCAGTTAAAGACTGACTAGCCCTTATCCTGGGCGATTAATGTCCATGCAATTACAGGGTTTTCAAGTTAAAAGAACTCCAGAGTAGTGGCACCCTCCATTAATATCTGTACCCCAGAGAGAGTGACAGGTGGATCTGAATTCCAGGCCGGTCTGGTCTATCTCGTTGAGTTCCAAGCCAAGCCAGAGCTACACAGTAAGGCTCTGTCTAAAAAATTAAGTGAACATTCCTTTATGCCTAAAATAAAATTAGTAAGAGGCCGGGTGGTGGTAGCGCACGCCTTTAATCCCAGCCCTTGGGAGGCAGAGGCAGGCGGATCTCTCTGAGTTCGAGACCAGCCTGGTCTAGAAGAGCTAGTCCCAGGACAGGCTCCAAAACCACAGAGAAACCCTGTCTCGAAAAACCAAAAAAAAAAAAAAAAAGAGAGAGAGAGAGAGAGAGAGAGAGAGAGCTAGTTCCAGGACAGGCTCTAAAACTACAGGGAAACCCTGTCTCGAAAAACCAAAAAATACAAAATAAAAAAAAATAGTAAGACTATTACTTATTAGTATATTGGTAAATAGCTCTTCCAAGGGGGAAAAAAAAACACGAAAAATTGAGTGACTGCTTCCAGGGAGAGTAAATGATGGAAATGATTAGTGTGCAACACTTGAAATTGTACATCTGACCTCAAAAATACACTTAAGCAGGAACAACGTTTCTGTGGCAACCCGGGCGGTACACAGTCTCTTTGTCCTGGCGTTCTACTCAATCTAAAGCAGTCCGCCCCAGCCCCTCCCACATCCAAGTGACGCCCTCTGTGGGCGTGGCGAAAGCCTAGGCTCCGCCCCCTCCACGGCGAGCGGCGCTTCTGGCACAGCCCACTACCGCGGGAGGCCGGCGGCTGTGCGGGCGGAAGCCTGCGCGCTCAGCCCCGCCCCCTGCGGTAGCGCGTGTCGTCACTTCCGCCTTCCTTTCTCCTGCCGTCTTCCCGGCGCGGCTCGCGAGGGATTATCCTCTGTGCTGAGTTCGTCGGAACCATGGTGAGCCTAGAGTCCGGCCCACGACCTGTGCTCCTGCCCGGGTCACGCTGTGGCCGGTGCCCCCCCGCTGCTCCCCTTGTCTAACCGGGGTCTCAGGCTCCCTGCGGCCGTCCTTTGGGCCGCTCGCACATGGCCCGGGCCGGGGTGAGGCCTGCGTGCGATCCGCAGACCGAGCTCTCCACGGGGGGCGCGAAGGGAGGATGCGCCCTAAGCCAGCATCTCTTACTAAAATCGGGCTTCTTCGTGGTTAGGGGTCCCCGACGACCCCCGGGACTCACCCCAAACGAAGAAGTTTCTAGCACTCTGGTCAGCCCCGCCCTCGGGGCGGGGCTTGAAGGGCGGGTGGCGGCGTAGGCCTGTGGAAGATGGAGGGTTTCGTGGTGGTTGGTGCCCCTGTTCCTCGGCCGCTGCCTGCCTCCGCCTTAATGTCGCCTTTCGTTTTGCCTTACACACCAGTCAGTTGATTTATTCCTGGCGTCCACCTCTAACTCTCGCTATTTAAATCAATTCCCACCCCCATGACGGACTCCAGAAATTATATTGTAAGTGAATTTTCCTTTAAGTAATACACTTCCCAATCTAGCGAGAGGCCCCAGAAACGTGTTAAAGAGTACAGGCATTGAAACGGAGTGTCTCGGTTTCCCCTTCCAGGCCTCCCTTTCCCTTGCACCTGTGAATATCTTCAAGGCTGGAGCTGATGAAGAGAGAGCCGAGACCGCGCGCCTGGTAAGCCCGGCCAGCCCGGCCCGCCTCTTGTAATTGACAAAACTGTACTTTTCGTGTTTTATCATTAGTAAGTCTTGACTGCCTTTTCTGGTTTTTCTCTTTTAAGTCATCCTTTATTGGTGCCATCGCCATTGGAGACTTGGTGAAGAGCACTTTGGGGCCGAAGGGCATGGTAAGAAAAAGCGGAAATTTTTAGAAGGCATTTTTCTGTTTGTTTCTAGTTTTCTTTGCTTTCTCGAGATGTGGTCTTGTGTTGAGGCGGCTGGCCAAAATAAATAAATAAATAAATAAAATAAAAGTTTTAAAAATTGTTTAAAGCCTTTAGCATAAATGTAGTTAGTAACACTTTTTTTTTTATGTTTTGCAGTCCAGAACATTACATTATAAAAAGTCCTCGTCCTGTATCACATCCCCAATCGTTACTCTCCGGTGGCAATAAGTGTCACCATTTAGATGCAAAACCTGCTTCTATTTTCTGATCATTTATGGACAAGTTTGTCCTAGATTTTCGAAACACATTTTTAAAATAGCAGATGCTGTTTTTGTTTATGTGCGTGTGCTCTTGGTGTGTGCTTGCTTTTTAGTGTCCTGTTTTAAATTTCAAGAGTTTGTTCTTTTTTTTTTCACGCATAAACTATTTTTATAGCCTTACCTGTTCTCCCACCCACAAACAATCCCTTAAAATGTTCTCTTTTCTGCTCCAGCCCTCTGCCTCTCAGACCTTTACAAACCTATTCATCCTCACTGTTCCAAAACACATAGACACTACCTAAGGCTGACCTTTGCCCCTGTCGCTTAGGCTTCTCCAGAACTCTGTATAGGACCGTTCACGGCTGACCACGTCTGCGTTATTGCCTTCTAATAAACTCTGGGATCCACTCTCACCATCCCTGCCCTCCATGCCTAACGTCCAAAGGACTCGCCTGTCCTTTCCGCTGTCTCAGGCTTTATCTTACCAAACTTCTTGTTGAAAGCTCATCCATCCTTCACATTCCTTTTCTGCCCTCCCCTTACTTAGTCCCTCCATACTTCCTTACGCTTTGCCCTCACATTCTCCATTCTGCCCCAGATCCTCTACACTCCCAGCAGAAAAACTTTGAAAGACGTCCTCCTTCCATCCCTCATACAGAAGTGGGTTCTCTAGCTGCTTCTGCCTACACTTACAGGGATGGCAGCTCCTTCTGTCATCCCCTCCAGTTCCTGTTCTCTCAGGATCACTTATTCCACATAAATCTTACCTCTTTTCTCACACTCCTACTTTTCCTCTGCCCAAGTGATTGCTAAATACCTACTGCCAACTGAATCCACTAAATTCACCAACTGTCCAGATATCCTTAGATATCGGACACTCTGAACAAATCCTACATTGCCAATTACAAGACATAACTAAACCCAAGCCCCTTCTGTCTCTCTCCCTCCTTCCCCCCCCCCCCCCCATCCCTCTCTGGTCAGGGTCACTCAGCAAACTCAGCTTCCCTGGTAACCTCCTTCAGGGCCTCCACTGCTTTCTTTGAGCCTGTCCTCAGCACCCTATGTCAGTCGAACTTCCTCTGGGGGCTGATAACCCAGTTGGCATTTTTTTTTAACTGATCTTTTAGTTAGCATAAGAAAATGTTGTATTCCTTTTGACCACAGTATCATATTCTGGGGTTTGCTTTTAACTTTGTTCCTGGATATTTGTTTCCATCGTTGTCTGTCGTGGTGCTGTAACAAAGCTAGTTTGTGTTACCTGTACTTCTAAGTTTCTGAGCAAACATTGAGGTTTGGTTGTAGGATACGTGCATTGAAAACACTTGGTGGCCAAATAACCATCCAGAGTGTTACCGTGTGAGCAGTGGACAGCTGAGTGCGTTTACTGACTCCAGGTATTTTTCAAGTATTTAACTTCAGTTTGACACAAACACATTTCCTTTTAGGACAAAATTCTTCTAAGCAGTGGACGAGATGCCTCGCTAATGGTAACCAATGATGGCGCCACCATTCTAAAAAACATTGGTGTTGACAATCCAGCAGCCAAAGTTTTAGTTGGTGAGTCTCTATATCTAAACTGTTCAAATGATAGCCATCATTTGCCATTACTAAAATGAATTTCAGAAGTATCAACCATTGGCGGCTGCTACAGCCACTAACTAGGTAGTTTTTAAATGATAAAAGTCGTTTGTCTAAATTGTGAAGTCCAAGACCAGTGGGCCCTGTCAGTGAGATGCTTGCTGTCATAATAGGGGTGAGACAGAAAGATAAGGGATTAAGTTTCCATGAACTTGGGGAGGACATACTCAAGCTACAGTATTTGAAACTTCAAGGTCTCCCAAACTTAGTCAGGTATGGATCAACCTATAAGTGGGGTTTAGATTTGTTGTGAATGTTTTAAAAGAATTTAGGGATGTGGAGAAATAATTTTATTCTTTTCCTAGATATGTCCAGGGTTCAAGATGACGAAGTTGGTGATGGCACTACCTCTGTTACTGTTCTAGCAGCAGAACTCCTCCGGGTGAGAACCATTCGATACTTCCTCCTTATTATTTGACTGATTTTGAGCAGTTGAAGTGATCCAATCCTTTATTACTTTTATTTATATACTTTTTTTTGACAGGAAGCAGAATCTTTAATTGCAAAAAAGATCCATCCACAGACCATCATCGCAGGCTGGAGAGAAGCCACCAAGGCTGCCAGAGAGGCGCTGTTGACCTCTGCTGTTGATCATGGGTGGGTACACCAAGATCCTGGTGGGAAAGTCTGAACTAGAGGACGAGGAGAAACATACACGAGTGTGCCTAGATAGCCTTTGTAATCTCCGCTAGCACTGATTGAAACTGATTCTTCACCTCAGCCTTCTCTGCTCTAGTCTTGCTGTGTAGCTCTCTTGAGCCTCATACTCACAGAAATCCACCTGCCTCTGTCTCCTGAGTGCTGGGATTACAGGCATGTGTTTCCGTGCATGTTTTTTTAATCTCTTTTAAACTGGGTAATAACGTGTTTCTGAAGGGTGATTTCCTTATACTCTCTGCCCTTGGAGAAATGTCTTTTTGAAAAGTTTTAGCTTTATGGGGGAAAAACGTTTTAGCTTTATAATGTGGGAAATTTGTTGCCCAGGAAATATTTCTGGAAGTGGAATTGCTGAGTCCAAACATATGTATATGTTTTAGTTTACTCTTATGTATATTACCAAATATCCAGAAACGATTTCTTTTGTTTTGTCAAGACTGGGTTTCTCTATGTGGCTTTGGAGCCTGTCCTGGAACTAGCTCTTTTAGACCAGGCTGGCCTCGAACTCACAGAGATCTGCCTGTCTCTGCCTCCTGAGTGCTGGGATTAAAGATGGGCGCCACCACTGCCCAGCCAGAAACGATTTCTATTTGTGCTGAGTATGTCGCACATGGTTGTTTCCCCACATTCTTGACAACATATGCTTTATGCTTTTCACCCTGTTTGGCAGTTTGATGGGAAACATGGTGTCCCATTTATTTACATGTTTCCTGATTTTGCTTACATTAGAGGTCTGGTTAGAGTCGAGTACTTAGGTAAATTTTGAAAATTAAACTATGCTTAATATGTTTGAAAAATTTCAATAACAGGTGGGCTTTCTTTTTTGATTGGTTCCATTAGTTCTGATGAAGTCAGATTCCGGCAAGATTTAATGAATATTGCAGGAACGACATTATCCTCAAAACTCCTTACTCATCACAAGGACCACTTTACTCAATTAGCTGTAGAAGCTGTTCTCAGACTGAAGGGTTCTGGTAATCTGGAGGCCATTCATGTCATCAAGAAACTAGGTGGGAGTCTGGCAGACTCCTATTTAGATGAAGGTATGTATGTGTACCAAATACGGAAAAGATTTGGTCGGCTCCCATCCATCCCTGCTTAAAAGTTTGTCTTTAAGAACCATTCACGTTGCAACTGTTGTTGGCATTTTAATCAATTGGTAGTGTTGATAGTATTCTTCATCTTCCACACGTTATCAGCAGCATCTTAACTTCTAGAGTTCTCACGTGGAGTCATTTGCTGTCTAGTAGAGAAATGATAGCTTTACCAAAAGCTGTTTCCAGAGCTATTTTTCTTTTCAGGATTACATGTATTTTTTAAGCACAGTCTGGATAAGTCAAATCATTTAATTAGCAGGCTGTTGATAAAAGGGTTTTGTTTGATTAACTTTTATAACTTTTGTGTGGCATTTATCTTTTTTTTGAAAGTTTTTAGACGTACATATAAGCCTTTTACTTAACATGTATGTGCACCACATGCATGACTGGTGCCCATGAGGTCAGAAGGCACCAGACTCCCTGGAACTGGAGTAAAGACGGCTGTGCACCTCGGTTTGAGTACTGAGAACCAAATTCAGGTCTGCAGCAAGAGCAGCAAGTGCTCTTTAACTGCTGAGCCATCTCTGCAGACCTTGCTACTTATATTTTTGTTGGTTTATTTTTAGGTTTTTCAAGACTGGGTTTTTCTGTGTAGCCTTGACTGTCCTGGGACTCCCTGTATGGACCTGGCTGGCCTCAAACCAAGAGATTCTTGAACCTCTGCCTCCCGAGTGCTGGAATTAAAGGAGTGCACCACCACCGCCCAGCTTTGTTGCTTGGTGGTTTTTGGTTTTTCGAGATTGTTTCTCTATGTAAACAGCCCTAGCTGTCCTGGAACTAGCTCTGTAGACCAGTCTGACCAAACTCACAAAGATCCGCCTGCGTGCCTGCCCCTGCCTCTCTAATGCTGGGATTAAAGGCATGTGCCACCATCACCAACTTGTTACTTGTTTTTAAAGATAGTCTTTTGTAGCCTTTGATTGTTTTGAACTTGCTGTTCCTTCTGCCCTTGTCTCCCAAACTTTACTGATTTGTGCAGTATGGGGATCCATCTAGATAGGACTTCGTGAGTGCTAAGTGAGCACTCTTAACTGAACTACATTACATCATTAGCCCTAGAAAACGTTTTGTTTATGAGATTGTTTTTAGTCATGTGCTTGTTTGTGTCTGACTGTGGGTGTGCATGTCAGTGGCCAGAGGTGGTAGCTCTGCTCAAGGTGCAGTTACAGACTGGTGTGAGCCACACGCAGGTCCTCTGTAACAGTAAGAAGTGCTCTTCATGTCTGAGCTCTCTCAGCTCATTCTGTTGTTTTAAGAAAAAATGCTTTCGCCGGGCGGTGGTGGCGCACGCCTTTAATCCCAGCACTCGGGAGGCAGAGGCAGGCGGATCTCTGTGAGTTCGAGACCAGCCTGGTCTACAAGAGCTAGTTCCAGGACAGGCTCCAAAGCCACAGAGAAACCCTGTCTCGAAAAACAAAAAAAAAAAAAGAAAAAAGAAAAAATGCTTTCAAAGTTTCTTTAACTGACAAATAATTGTATATAGTTAATACATAGGACTAGTTTTTGAGGACTAATTCTTGGGAGATGCTTTTTTTCTTAATAGTGTGGTTTGCAGGGCATAGGTTTTTCAGTGTCTTTATATTTACTTTCAAAAGGACCATGGACTGTGTAGGCATTGTCTTAAAAGGAGTAAGAAGAGTTAAGCTGTGCTTTGAAGCTACGCGTGATTTGGAATCCTGATTTTGCTGTGTGTTTTATGCCATTTGTTTATGCAGTTCTGAAAATGTTTTGGTTACATTGATATTCGGGGGCTTTGTAATGTTTCTAATGGTCTGGCAGGTGGGGGAAAATCTTATAACAGAGAGAGTCACTTGCTGCTCCCCATCCTTGTATATGTGCTCTGTGCCAAGAATTATAATTGGAACTTTAATCCTTTAGTTCTTGTAGTGATGATCTGCTGAGGACAAGATTAATCTGAATAGATCAGAAAGCACAGGTTGAAATTAATGAGCTAAGTTTCTTATGTGTCTGAAAGAAGCCTATGAAGATGGTCAATGTTATTAGGTCATATGGTGGCATCCAGTCAACACACTAGGCTGGTAATCAGCATCTACCTCTAGTCATACATGCTTTGTCTGTGTTTCTGTTTTACTACTACGTGGAGTTTTCTTGACTGTCCCGGCCTCTGCCTCCCTAGTTTGAGATTAAAAGCCCATACCACTATGCTGGGCTAGATGGAGTTCTTTTGAAAGGCATAGCACTATCCTTTGATTTCCACTCTTTTTTTTTTTTTTTTTTTTTTTTTTGTGGTTTTTCGAGACAGGGTTTCTCTGTGGCTTTGGAGCCTGTCCTGGAACTAGCTCTCTAGACCAGGCTGGTCTCGAACTCACAGAGATCCGCCCACCTCTGCCTCCCGAGTGCTGGGATTAAAGGCGTGCGCCACCATCGCCCGGCTGATTTCCACTCTTGACTGCTTGTTTTGTCTTGTTGGTTTTAAGCTAGTAAAAATGCACTTAAATTTTTTACATTATAGTCAGTAGACTCTGGTCTGTTGTATGAATATGAAACAAAAATGTCCTGGTGGTGCATTTTGTTTCTCTGCTAATGCTGTAGTATTCCCTTGTGTGTATTCTCATTTAACTGTTACTTATATACTTCATTATTAATGTGTATGAGTGTTTTGCCTACATTAATATCAGTACCATGTGTGTGCCAAGTGCCTTTGGAGGTCAGAAGAGGGCATTGGATCTCCTGAAACTGGAGTTCTGGATGGTAGTGAGCCACCTTGTGGGTGCTGGGAATTGAACCCAGGTACCCTGCAAAAGCCAGCAGGTACTCTTAAGTTATCTCTCCAGACCCTTGCATTCTGCTTTTAAATTTATTTTAAATAATGAGTTGATGTTTATGACCACTGCTATAATGGAATGCTTTTAAGATTCTGGGAATGTGTACATTGAACTTTAAATGCATTATTTGAATCACTAATTTAGTAATACAGACAACTTTGCAGGTTTACAAGTATATCCTTAAAGTATTTATTACTATTTTTATGTTTGTTGTAGGTTTTCTATTGGATAAAAAAATTGGAGTAAATCAACCAAAGAGAATTGAAAATGCTAAAATTCTTATTGCAAATACTGGAATGGATACAGACAAAATAAAAGTATGTGGTTATATTTCCTGAAATTCTATTGCTGGTTGCTGTTAACTCAGGAGTCGGTTACATTAAACAGCTTAGAATCTTTAAAATATTACACCTATATATACTTTGATATGTGTGTTCAAAATGATACACTGTGTTACTGGAACGTGAAAAAGGAGTGAAACTTAACTCTGTCTTTATGTCTTCCATCTTAGATATTTGGCTCTCGGGTGAGAGTTGATTCCACAGCAAAGGTTGCAGAAATAGAACATGCAGAAAAGGAAAAGATGAAGGAGAAAGTTGAACGTATTCTTAAGCATGGAATAAATTGTTTCATTAACAGGTCTGTGTTTGCTTGTGCTGTTTTTAACAAGTTCTTAAGTTATTTTGTTCATGAAAATTATATTTTCTATTAAATTACTTAATGTTAGAAACTGCTGTGTATGGCTTACGTACAGTTACAGATTGTTGCGATTCAAGCCCTCAGCTAAGACACATACACTTAATAGACTGCTAGATTAAAGGCAAGTCTACATGTTCTAAGATTGCTCAGTCCCTCTTGCTGCTCTCAGTATTTTATTGCACTGCACTCAATTTTCATATGATGATAAAAGGATTCAGTGCTTGATGTGGTAGATAAAGTGAGGCTGATTTGATTGGGTATTGTCATTTAATAAAAGGTTATGGTAGTGTTGAATACTCGCAGTGCGGTAACATCGATCTTCTAATGTAGAGGGTCACTAAGTGACTAGCTGTCAGAAGAACATACCGTTGTGGGTTCATGAGACAGAGGGCTGATGAGTCATACACTTGTGGGACAGAGTAGAGCAGTGTCAGATTTCTTCCAGATACTCAGGATAGGGAATGATGTAAATATGTAAAATATTTGGAATTTCTGATTTCAGTTGACTTTAGCTGGAACCTGATAAACGAATCTCTTAAGGGAAGACTCTTAGGTAGAAATAATTTTATTGAAGATTTTTTTTAGCATTTCATTGCTGTAGATGACTGATTTTGGGTTTTCGTTTTTAATTTCTGCTTTGCTTATGCTGTGTGGTCAGAGGACAACTTGTGGGAGTGTGTTCTCTCCTATCACTTGAGACTCGAGTATTGAGCATAGATCATCAGGCTGTTCTGTTTTGTGTTTTTTTAACTTCTGGTGAAGTTTGAGCAGAGTGTTCTGTGTATTTCATCTGCAGACAGCTAATTTATAATTACCCTGAACACCTCTTCGGTGCTGCGGGGGTCATGGCTATTGAGCATGCAGATTTTGCAGGTGTGGAACGCCTAGCTCTTGTCACAGGTAAGGAAAAAGACATTAGTTTCTAGTAGTATAATTACCATTCTTGAATTTATTGAGCATTACTGTGCAATGCATTGTTGAGAATAAGAACCTCTTAATAAGACTATATACTAAAGGGGAGGGAAGTCTATACACCCACACACACTCTGAATTATACCTTTAATTTAGTTATATTTGTTTGAAGAATTGCGCTGCCATTGCTTGCATGTGGAGATCAGATGACAACTTTATAGAGCTGACTCTCCCCTCTTAACCATGTGAATCTTAATGGCAAGTGCCTTTACCTACTATCTTGCTGGCTGGTCCCATTATTATAACTGTAGATAGTTTTCTCTTAGAAATGCTTGGTACTCAAAAGCTTCTCAGATTCTGGATTTTCGGGGATGTGAATGAAATATTTGATCATGCATAGTGAGATAACTTGGAGTAAGACCCAAGTCTAAACATGGAATTCATTTTTATTAGCTACAAATGCCTCATAAACAGTGAAGATACTTTAGACAGCAGTTTTGGCCGACTCGCATTTTCACTGGTCCATTGCATTGACTCAGGATTTTCTACTTCTGTCATTTTCATTTTTAAAAAGTTGCACATTTATGTTTCAGTTTATGAATGTTTAAGGTGTGTACTAGTTTATATATGTGCAAGCCATGGTTAGAGAGTTCTTTTTGTTATGGTGTTTCAAGACTAGTTCTTTCCCACAAATATAAAGACTTCACTTTCTAGGAATATTCTAAACAAATTCATACTTAAAAGAGCTGTCTTGAGTCTTAACTAGTCTGTCTGTTTTGCTGAATATTTAAATTCTGCCCCGTGTGAGGTAAAGTTACAGTGACCGTTACTGAAGACTTTGTGCCTTTCAGGGCGAGGGAAGTATGTGCCTTGTGCTTTAATTTAAACATAGCTTTTCTGAGTTTTTAACTTTCACAATGGTAAAAATTTTTAAATAGGTGAATCAGTCCAGTAACAGCCTCAGACTCTCAGAGATCTGCCTGCTTCTGCCTTTCTGGTGCTGGAATTAAAGGTGTGCAACACCATGCCCTGTAATGTGTTTCTTTTCATAGGTGGTGAGATTGCCTCCACCTTTGATCACCCAGAGCTGGTGAAGCTTGGAAGCTGCAAACTAATCGAAGAAGTCATGATTGGAGAAGACAAACTTATCCACTTTTCTGGGGTTGCCCTTGGTGAGTTGACTGACTGTAAATTTGGGCATCTTGAAGCAAAAGAAAGGTTTCTATGGTACTAAAATGCCTTCTATAGGCTGGTGAGATGGCTGTGGGTGAAGGTGTGTTATGACCTCATTCCTTCCCTGGAACCCACATGGTAGAAGGAGAGAACCAATTTCCACCTGAGTACCATGCACACATGCACCTCCCACACATACATACACACAAAGATTAATAATTGAGGTACATATATGTTATAAGGACAAATATAAAATAAATTTTGAGAGGGCCTATTTTATGTTTTGTTCCAGTGTCTCAAAGTCTTAAGTTGATACTTGCTGTGCCTTTTTGAAATGTGTACATTTAGTAGATTTTTCTTGGTAACTTAGGACTCTTATGAACATGGATTTTTGCAGAGAAAACGTTGCATGGTGGAAGACATCATCTACCAAAACCCAATCATAGTCATCACTTACATAAATAATGGAATGCAAATGGCTATGTGGTCTGTGACTAGGTGGTAACTGACTTCTGAATGTTATATTTAATGTTAGGTGAGGCTTGTACCATTGTACTTCGTGGTGCCACTCAGCAAATTTTGGATGAAGCGGAGAGGTCTTTGCATGATGCCCTTTGTGTTCTTGCCCAAACTGTGAAAGATCCTAGGACAGTGTATGGAGGAGGTGAGCGTTTGGTTCCTTGATGTGTAATGTGACTTACAAATGGATGTATTGGCTCTTGTAGAAACCAATCATGTTAGCCTTTGATTTTAAAATGACAGATCTTAGGGAAGTCAGTAATTCATAGTTCTGGAGATAGACCACATAATAGTTTTTGGATTTTAATTTATAGGTTGTTCTGAGATGGTGATGGCTCATGCTGTGGCAAAACTTGCCAGTAAAACACCAGGAAAAGAAGCTGTAGCAATGGAGTCTTTTGCTAAAGCCTTGAGAATGGTAACTATGAAAAGGGATCTAAACATAATTTTCATGTAGTTGATTATTTTAAACTGAGTATACTGCCCTAGACAAAAAGGTGACATTTTCCTTGCTTTTTGCAAAACTGGTCATTCACAGTGTTGTATATTTTGATTGTACGTTTTATGCTTGATTATGAACAGTTATTAAGAAAGAGATAGCCAGTTATGGTGTATTCATCCAGACAATGGCTAGTCCTTGGTGGTTATTTTTCATTGTTATATTGTAGCTGCCAACCATCATAGCTGACAATGCAGGCTACGACAGTGCAGATCTGGTGGCACAGCTCCGAGCTGCTCACAGTGAAGGCCGAATAACTGCTGGGCTGGGTAAGAAGTCGAGTGGACTTTTGTAATCACTGTTAAAAGTAATTTTCTTCAATTAAAGAAAATGTTTATACATACAAACCATACATATGAAATGCACTTGGTCATATTCCCCTTCCCTTTGTTCTCTTAACACCTTAACTCTTCCACTGAACCCATGTTTCCAAAGCCCTTTCCCCGCTTACGTGGGTGGAGGGTTATTTACTTGCATGAAGGCACCTTACTGGAGACTACCCTGAAGAATATAACTTATCCTTCTCCGGCAGCCATTAGCAGCCTGTAGGGATGGAGGGTTAACAGTTGTGCGGGCGGCTGCAGCTGCTGTGCCTTCACAGGCGCACTGGCCGTCTCACCCCACTCCTCATTACCCCTGACTCTCACACGTTCTGCCCTGTTCTGTGGTGCTCAGACCTGCATGGTCAGTTTAGGCCAAGCACTCAGCAGGCATCGTTTTCTGTACCTTCACCAGTTGTGAGTCTCTGTGCTAACTGGCATCCACCGCACACTGAAGCTTTTCTGAGTAAGGCTGCAGGCAGCACTAATCCGTACATACAAACAAATGTGTAGAACGCAATTGGACATAGTGTTTGTTCAGCAGGGCAACAGTAGTCAGTTCCCTCATTATTCGTTCAATAGGATTTTTTCTTTTCTTGTTTTTGTCTGTGTGTATCTGTGTTTTTACAGTTCTTATGCTAACTGTATCAAAGGTGGCAATGCTAATTTTTATAATTAATGTTTTAATTTTGTATTCATGACATTGTTGTAAGAGGTATAAAACTACTCAAAAGATTTAGAGTTTGGTATTAGGACATGTGAGTAGAGCTTATATTCTTAAGTGTAAACTCTTAGAACACAGTGTTAGTTTCTAATTTCACAACAATCCGGCGCAGTTTTGAATGTAAATCTCTATATAAATAAAGTAGTTAGCAAGCTAACACATGTGGGCCTGGTGCCTGTAGAAGCCCTTGGAAGCCAAAAGGCATGAGATACCCTGCAGCTAGAGACTGTTGTGAACCTTAACGTGGGTGCTGGGAATCAAACCAGGCTCCTTTGGAAGAGCAGTTAGTGTTCTTAACAGCAGAGCCATCTCTCCTGTTCCCCTTTTTGGTTGAGTGGTTTCACTGTGTTGCCTTCTCTAGCTGGACTTTGTTGTGTAGACCAGGCCAGTATTGAGCTCAGTTTCACCTGCCTCCCACGTGCTGGGATTAAAGGGTGTATATCCACAGTACTAGATATAGAGGTCAGGACAACTTGAAGAAGTTGGCTTTCGGTCCTGAGGATCAAACTCAGGGTGATAATGCAGGACCATTACCTATTAAGTCATTTTACTAACTGTCCCTGTAAAAGTTTTTGTTTGGTATCATTGCCCTCTATTAATATAGATCATTAGTATTGACTTCCTGCACCCCCAGTGTTGGGTATTTGTGTGTTTTAAATACATATGTACCCATGGACACATTAGAAGAATATGTAGGATACCTACCTCTGTTGTTTTCTACCTTGAGTCAGGGTCTCACTGAAGTTTTCCATTTTTGCTAGACTGAATGGTCAGGAAGACAACATTGCGTCTCTTCCCCCCTTTCCTCCCAGTCCTGGTTTTAGAGGCACCTGGCAGCTGTGCCCAGATGTTCTGTGTGCATGTTGGGGATTCAAACTCAGATCCTTAGTTTTTCAGTGTGCAAACATTCACCCACTGAATCATATCCTTAACCCAATTAAAAACTTTTAGGTGTGGTGTGTGTGTTACGGGAGTGTATATACATGCACCCTGAGAGAACAGAAGAGGTTGGGAGCTGCCCAACATGGGTGATGGGAACTGAATTCAGGCTGTTTTCAAGAACAGCAATTGCTCTTAACCACTGAGTAATTTGATCTAGCCCCTACAATTTAAAACAAACAAACAAACACATTTTTGAAGGTTTTCTTTGAATGCTTTTATATCTGCTAACTATGCCAGGTAGTTGGGTACAGTAACAGGCTTCGTTTTACTACAAGTTATTAGAGACGATTTAATACCTTATTTGTTAAACAGTTACTGTAATATTTTTTCAGATATGAAGGAAGGTACCATCGGAGACATGGCAATACTGGGTATAACAGAGAGCTTCCAAGTGAAGCGACAGGTTCTTTTGAGTGCAGCTGAAGCAGCAGAGGTGATTCTCCGTGTGGACAACATCATCAAAGCAGCACCGAGGTACAAGAGCCCTTGGCATCATTAGGAAAGCTTGTGTGAGACAAAACCAGGGAGCATTATTTACTTGATAACCACATTTAAAGGAACTGTCAACTTTTAGTAGAGTATTGTGCAAATTATCTAAAATATGGGATCACAGGAACTGGGCATGGACAGCCAGGGACACAAGGGGATTGGAAGTCACAGAGCAGCCAGGCTTGTGAAGGTATCAGGGAGCTGTGGCTGCCTGGTGTCCTTTTACCAGGGTAAGGTCATGTTGCTTACCTTCCTGGATGCACTTCCGTGTAGATGCCTGTGGGTGGTTCTGGTTTTAGAGGTGGTCCTGCTGTGTAACCTGGGCTGGATTCGGATTTAGAATGCGCTTCCCTGAGCTTTACATGCTGAGATTATAGGTGGTTGCCCCCACGTGGCTCACACAGGTATTCTCAAACACCCACCTCCTTTACAGGGCCATACTCTAGAAACTTTCACATGAAGTGCATCTGTCTGTTTTGCATTGCTCTGTCAAAAATCTGATGGGAGATACAAAGGATTTATTTGAGTTCACAAATTTAGAAGTTTCAGTTCATACTTAACTGGTTCTGTTGCTCTTGGGTGGGAGGAGAGGAATGCCAAGTAAACATGTAGCCAAGATGCCAGGTGAACGGAATACTTAGGAAGAAGAACAACCTGCCAAAATGACAATAGGTCAAGGAACAGTAACTCTTTAAAAACTGGACTTCAGGGCTGGAGAGATGATCTGCTCAGCAGTTAAGAGCATTGGCTGTTCTTCCAGAGAGAGGTCCTGAGTTTAATTCCCAGTTTACAACCATCTCTAATGGGATCTGGTGCCCTCTTCTGGCATAAAGGTGTACATGCACATAAGTGAATCCCTTAAAATGGACTTGAGCATCATTAGTTTTGGCACACGGTGTTAGTGGAGTGGCAGAGATCAAATTCATTCTGTAGTAAGTTTAGAAAAGTCAAGGGAAAATGGAGTTGATTGTGGTTTTGAGGGTTCGTGTGAAAGCAAAGAGGAAGTGTGGGTGCCTGTAACATCCAAATAGCTAAGTGGAAGATTTTTATTTTTTTTTTAAAGATTTATTTATTTATTATGTATACAGTATTGTCAGTATCCTGTCTGCATGTACACCTGCAGGCCAGAAGAGGGCACCATATCTCCTTACGGATGGTTGTGAGCCACCATGTGGTTGCTGGGAATTGAACTCAGGACCTTTGGAAGAACAGGCTCTTAACCACTGAGCCATTTCTCCAGCTCCAGTGGAAGATTTTTAGAATTATGTTTAAAATTCTCTAATTTTGAAATTTGTGAGAATTCCTGGAGATGCTGGTTTACTGTCCCTGAATCTGACATACCAGGGATTTTAAAATACTCACTGTATTTTCCCATTATATAATTTTGAAATGCATTGTGTGTACACATACATATACATATATACATGCATAGATGCATACACTTTGTTAACATTTTTTTACAAACAGATAGGACGTTAAAGAGTTCACTGATATTCCTGCTATCTCTTTGCAAAAGATTCTTATAGCGCCAGACACTGTATGGTCGCCAGAGAATTCATGATTATTGGCATACCAAGTCATAGTCTACCCAGTCTCTAGCTTTTCTATTGGCAGTTGTGCTCCTGAGTAGGTTGTCATCTAGAAGCCCTGTGTGTTTTCATTCTCTGGCTTTGTTTAATGCTGTCTGGCTAATTTGGTAAACTTTCTTAGTACGTAGATTACTCAAAAACATGAATAAAGCCAAGTGATAGTATATTATTGGGGAGACTGAGGCAGGAGGATTGCATGTTCAAGTCTAGTCTTAGGATATACAGCGAGATCTGGTCTTCAGGGGGAAAAAAATGGCAGGTGGTGGTGGCATCGCACGCTTTTAATCCTAACACTCAGGAGGCAGATGCTGGTGGATCTCTGTCAGTTCAAGGCCAGCCTGGTCTACATAGAAAGTTCGAGGACAGTCAGAGCTATTACAAAAAAAAGAAAAGAAAAGAAAGCAAAACTAGATTAATCCTTTTTGGAGAGTGAATGCTTATTAAGTTGGAGGTTAAGTCCCTGTGGGAAATGGAGCTATAGAGATTTTAGTAAACAAAGGTTCTAGCTCTGTTTGTGTCAGTGGAAAACTAGTTAAAACCATACTTTTCATTCTTTACTTTCCTTATTTGTATGACTTTTTTCCTTATAGGAAACGTGTCCCTGATCACCACCCCTGCTAAGCATTCCCATTGGCTGTTGATCTCTGGACCAGTCCGTAGCAGAATTGTATTTGAAAGACTCAACCTTTTAAAGAAGACTGTGGAATCGATGTGTCCATGATAGTTTGAATATTTAGCTGACCTTTTGTTTAAACATGGGTCTAATTTATTTGCTATTTCATTTTGCATACAATTCAGTTGACTTACAAGTTCATTTCTCATACTGTGTATTAAAATAAAAATCCAGTTATTAACTCTTAATGTCTTACAGATCTGTATATATTCTGCTGGAAATCTACTTAAAAGAAATGACTGTATTTCAGTGTGGAGCTGTTTCAGCTTAATCAATTATTGACTTATTGTTTTATGAAGTAATTATTTTGATTATGCCCCCGTCAGATTTAAACATGGATACATTAGTCTTTTGGCTTTGTGGAGGGGGCCATGTATATATACTCAGTCATGTATAGCTTTTACTGCATATTAATTTGGAGTGGAAGTGCCATAAGGTATAGTACCGATTTAATTCTTAGATAAACATTTCAGTTTCTGTTCAAGTTTGAAAAAGTCATATTTAACTGTCCGCCTCTCTGATGCTTTACTAGTAACATTCTCTTAGATAATGGGCTCAGTTAAACCTCATTGTGGTTGTTTGTTAGGGGTTTGTTTTGATAGAGAACGGAAATAAGCATAGATATGTACTGAGTTTAATTTAAGTTTGACTTACAGATAAGTTAATATATTGCAGCATCCACAGAATTTAAGAAAGCTCAGAAGCAGGGCTGGAGAGATGGCTCAGCAATTAAGAGCACTGGCTGTGCTTCCAGAGGACCTGGGTTCAATTCCCAGCAACCACCTGGTGGTCCACAGCCATCTGCAGTGACGGCTGATGCCCTCTTCCACCATAAAAGCATACATGCAGATAGCACTCATACATAAATAAAACTTTTTTAAAAAAAGCTAAAAAGCAAGAAACTTAACTGGCTATCTCTGGCAGCCCCAGAATTGCCTCATAGAGAAGACAGGGCTTTCAGAGTTGGTACCAGAGGGCTAGAAGTGGCGCAGTCAGTAAAGTGCTTGTCTGCAGGGTCCCTGGGGTTAGCCGGTCATAGCTAGCCTGTTCCATAGGTGGGCTTCAGATTCAGTCAGAGACCCCCATGTAGAGTGGAGCGTCCTAGATGAAGGCATCTGATGTCAGCCTGTGCATACAGATACACAGAAAGTACCTGTTTTGGAGGTGGGGGTTATGTGCATGAATGTTGCTTATGTATGTGTGTGTCACATGCATGCCTGATGCCTCAGGAGGTCAGAAGAGGGCATGAGATTTGCTGAAACTGCTAAGTGGTTGTCAAACTCTGTGGGTGCTGGGACCTAACCCCGGGTTCTCTGCAGGAGCCCTTGGTCACTTAGTCATCTCCAGCTCCCATGTCTGTATGTTAATACCTGGAGTCTGTTAGGGGCTGACAGGATGGTTCAGTGAGCAAAGGTGCTTGCTGTCACGCTGAAGGACCTCAGTTTAATTCCTGGAGCCCTCATGGCAGAAGGAGAGGACCAAGTCCTCTGGCCTCCATGTGTTTGTGGTGCCCAGCCCCAAATAAATAGGCACATCAAAGAGTTGTTAATGATTAGTATTACTGCATAGAAAATAGTAAAAGTTTAGAACCCAATAAGGCCACACTGACTTACCTTGTGTGGTTGACTCATTTCCATGAGGACTGAACTGCTAATGGTTTCACACAGGTGCCAGCAGGATGTGGGGAGAGAGTCTTCCCAGGCATCCAGCATCTTCAACTCCGCGAGATGTGTTTCTAAGTTTTGTTTTGGTACGTTGGGGTTTTGCCTGTATGTATATCTGTGTGAGGATGCTACATCCCCTGGAACTGGAGTTCACAATTGTGAATTGCTATGTAGATGCTGGGAATTGAACCCTGGTCCTTTGGAAGAGCGGTCAGGGTGGCCAGTGCTCTTAACCACTGAACCATCTCTCCAGCCCCTCTTTATTTCTTTTTAAGGTCTATTTTTACTTGTGTGGGCCTGTGTGTACTTGGGTGTAGGTGCCCGTGGAGGCCAGAGGAGTTGGGTCCCCCTAGAACTGAAGTCAGGTGGTTGACTTGGGTGCTGGGAACCAAACTCGGTCCCCTTAACCACTACCCAGTCTACCCAGTGGCCATTTTCTGTATATGTGCCTTGCTTCTTCCATGGCTATTGTAATGGATTTGAGCAATACTTCCCTTTCCTGTGACCTGAGCTGATGGAGTCCAAACACCTTGCTGCTGCTGTTGGTAGTGTCTGGATTCCTGCGGCCTTTTGTTCTTTATTCTCTTGAGTCATACCCTTGTTAAACCCGCCAGCGCGCCCATCCATGGTGAATACAGCTGTTACATTGTCTTCCCTAGAAGTGGGAACTTCTGTAGATCACAGTGACTATAGAACTTTAAAGTTCCTACCACAGACAAGGCAAACAAATTCCCAATTTTATTAATTTGTGCTGAGGCAGAAGCCGTGGAGGAACACTGCGGACTGGCTTTCTTATGACTGCACCCAGGAACGCCAGCCCACGGTGGCACCTTCCCCAGTGAGCTGGGTCCTCCCACATCAACTATGAATAAAGAAAATGCCCCATAAGCTTGCTTCATGCCGATTTGGTGCGGCATTTTCTACGCTGAAGGTTCCCTCTTCCCAGATGACTAGCTTGTGTCACGTTGACAGGAAACTAGCCAGCACAGGTTGGTACCACAAGTTCTGGAAGAGTGAGGACAGGCCAGTAGTTAAGAGCTTGTCTAGCTTCACCCCTGTTTAGGGGATGGTCTGTAAGAGATTTCCCCAGGCCTTGGGGTGTCCTGACTTAAAAATCCAGGGGTTAAATAGTTAATATTTGGTGCTGTAGCCATTCTTCCTGATTTTGCTGCTCTTAGCATCTCCTGGACCCTCAGAAGAGTTAAAAGAATGTAACTACCATATAAAAGTGATGGAAAACCTACAGTATAAACACTTGTAGGCAGCAAAATCTGCCATAATTGACAAACTTATGTTTGTTGCACGCTTCCTGATTTAGAAGAAAACCATTTGGCTGCAGTCCAAATGTTGGTAATTTAACATTGGATGCAGTACAGTTACTGAGAATCCGGGTCAGTTAGCTTCAACTCAAGCCTGCAGCTTACGCTGGAGAAATAGACCTGTCCGTCTCCAGAGCAAACGCTGGTCAGAAAGCAATCTATAAAGTGCTATAGCAGAGGCTTGGAAGGCAAATTCTTGTTTGCAGATTGTGTTTAGCATCAGCTGAGTATATGGCTTTAATCACCCTGAATAAGACTATAAAGGCATCTTTTTTGGTCTGATCACTGGGCTGCAGGTGTACTGTATGGAGAGGTGGTGACAGGGACCTCTGATTTAACCAGCGCGTGGCTGGAAGGATTCTGTCATTTCAGAACCGTGCTTGTGAAAGGTCATATCCTCCCAAAGCTCTAGAAGTTCAATATATATGGTTTGTCCAAGTAGGATGGCAATTTGTGTCCTTGTGTTTTGGAAAGGTTATTAGATCATCCATGGGCAGCCATTTAGAGTTTATGTATTTGTAATAAAGTCTCAATTTACATACTTGCATAAATAATGCACCGAATACCTAGGTTTGTAGACTGTCAAAAGACCCTATGAACAAAAACCCAAACAAATTGTGGTCAAAGGCCAGAATGTCTACACATAAGAGACTTTCAATTGACCTTCTCCAAGTCAAACTTTAAGTGCTTGTTTCAATTGGACTTTTACATTCTACCTTGACATAGTATGACTCTCTGGAAGCATGGCTTTGCTCCCGAGGACAGCCTGGACTCTGCCGGAATCACACAGCTGCACTGGGAAGAAAGGCTTGACTTTCCAGATGACAGTAAACTGAGCAGACCTTAGGTCAGACCTTATAGAGGAAATGAGTGGAACCGGCCAAGATGTCTTTCCAGTAGGTGCTGGAAAGTGAGGTCTTTGTAACAACAGCTTTCCTTGAATCAAGACTGATGAGGTAGAGTTGTTCTTTTCAGGAGCTAAATTAGTAACAGTACATTGACACTATTCATGGTAAAGAAATGGGTATGTGGGAGGGGCTAAAGACAGACCACCTGAGCACTCTGATAGTTTTTGTTTTCTTTATTACCAAATACCACGCTCGAAGCACTCACCAACCTCATGGCCAGCCATTTCTGCATAGTGGAAGAGGCCCAAGGCCCTGGCCCTTCTTCCTCTTCAGTGTTTCAAAGTAGCTTATTTGAAGAAGCTGCTTCAGGAGTGGCAATCACTGGCTTCCAGGCCCGGCAGTCCACACCTTCCCCTAGGAAGAGGTGCAGCGGACCGGAAATGTTTTCTTCTCAGTATTCCTTTACATGAGATGATCCGGGACTCTTTCCACTCTAATGAGAAGTCTTCAATTGGGCCATCCTTAACTGGCTTACAACTGAGGCTGTTCAGGAGCTGGGAGGAAGAAGGGGAGCGGGTGGCTCTTGACTTTCTTCCTGGGCCAGTGCATATCGCCTAGCTTTTCTGAGCTGAGGCTCTGGCGTCTCATCTGCCCATCTCCCAACACGGCGCACCCCTTTGCCCACCTTGGGGGCATTTCTGCAAGGATTGTGGTCATAGATGACCAGTTTCAGATTAGTCAAGTGGGCCAGGTTGGGGAAGTAGCGGATACTGTTCCGGTCCACGTCGATCACCTCCAGGAAGGGCATGCGAAGCAGCACAGGGGGGAAGTCAGTGAGCTGGTTGCCTGAGAGCCAGATGGTCCTGAGCTCCCGTAGGCGCCGGAGCTGGCTAGGCAGCAGCCTTAGGGCGTTGGACCCCGCATGCAGGGTCCTTAGGAGGCTCAGCTCACACACCACATCTGGCAGCTGGGTGAGGCAGTTGTCCTCAAGCCACAGGGTACGGAGGTTCTGGAGCAGGCTGAGCTCATCTGGAAGGTCACAGAGTTTGTTATTGCCCAGGTAGAGGATGCAGAGCTGTTTCAAGGTGCACACCACCCGGGGAAGGGCTTTGAAGTTGTTGAAATCCAAGGCCAGGATCTGCAGGTTCTGCAGCTGCGCCAGGTCTGGAGGCAGGCTCTGGAGGTGGTTGTCGCTCAGATAGAGCTTTACCAGCTCGGTGAAGGAGCACACATGGAGTGGGAAGCGACGCAGCTGGCTCCCGCTCAGATCTACCATCCGGTCCAGCGGCATCTCCCGGAGGTCTCCCACCACGTAATTCTGGCAGCGGTCCGTGGGGATGAAGGCCACTAGGGCCCGGATGGTGTTCCCCATGTGGAGCCCGCCGCCGCTAAGCAAGCCTCTGCCCACCACCTCTGCCAAGGAGTGGGGCCGGCTCAGCTGACTGCATTGGATCCTTTGTACCCTCCCTTTATAACACGGAATTCTGTGACAAAGGCCAGTCACTTTGACAGTGAAAAGTGCTCCTGATAGCGACTTGAGTGTCTGGTGACAGGCCCAACAGACAGGCAAGGTCTGGGAGGCCATATCCAACTCATATTTGCCTTTAATCACTTAAGCCCTTTGTCTACTCTTTCTTGATTATTTTTCCTAATGGTAAAATACTATGACAAAGGTGGAGAAGTAGAAAATGAAAATTACCCATATTTCCACTATGTAGATAGAACTACAAATATTTGAACATATAGTCCTCTCTCCTTTTTGCTACAAATGATTGGTTTTTTTTAATTACACATGAATAAAAAATAATCACATACTTGCAGGTATAAAGTATACAATTATTTTAAATACTTGCATAGTACTCCTTATGTGTATACAGTGAGTTAAACAGTTCTTTACACTGGAGCAACAGGTGACTTATAACGTGTGGTTCTTATTAAGGCCCCTGTAAATACAGATGAAAGACAAACAGGCTTGGGAGATAGCTCACCTATCTTGGCAGAGAGCTTACCCAACATGACCAAGGCCGTTTCCATCCTGAGGATAGCCAAAAGCAACAACATATCACTAGATTTTTCTACGACACCTTCTTGAAGGTGTTGAGTCAAAGGTCTCCATCCTGGAGAGATTTTTCTCCCTGTTGCCAACAAAATCCGATTAGGTCCCATAATCAGAAGCAATGGCTTTCGGTTTGTAGTTTCTTGTTTCTGTAGTCATTCCTACCAGATAACATCTTCCCACTCTTCAAAAAGGCACCTGTGAGCCAGGCATGGCGGTGCACACCTTTAATGCCAGCTTGATTTACAGAGTGAGTTCCAGCAAGGGCTACACAGAGAAACCCTGTTTTGACTCCTCCCATTCCCCCCCAAAAAGGCATATCTGAGTTGGGAGTGTAACCAGCCCAATGTTAGAATGCTTGCCTAGCAGAAGTGAGGCCCTGGGATCTGTCTCCAGGGCTGCCAAAACAAACACAAAAAGAATTCCTTTTGAAAAAGAACAAGAAGGCTGGGGGGGTGGGGGGGGGACGGCAGACTAATTAGCATAGATTAATTAGAATAGAACCTTAGAGCCTGGAGAGAGAGAGAGAGAGAGAGAGAGAGAGAGAGAGAGAGAATATAACATAACCTTAGGGTACAATGTGCCAGAAGCTTTTAAATGTTCATCAAAGCTCTGTGCCTGTCTTCTGAAATAGTGTCCTGTTTATTTTTTTTTTATTTTTTATTTTTTTTTTGGTTTTTCGAGACAGGGTTTCTCTGTGGTTTTGGAGCCTGTCCTGGAACTAGCTCTTGTAGACCAGGCTGGTCTCGAACTCACAGAGATCCTCCTGCCTCTGCCTCCCGAGTGCTGGGATTAAAGGCGTGCGCCACCACCGCCCGGCTAATAGTGTCCTGTTTAAAAAAGCAGCGAAGACCCAGAACATTCCAAGGACTGTTCAAGAATGAAGTTGTAGTAGTTTGGTTTGTTTCTGTTTTCGAGTTTCTCTGTGTTGTGTAGTCCTGGCTAACCTGGAACTCACGCTTTAGATCAGGCTGGTCTTGAACTCACAGAGCTCTGCCTGCCTGTCTGCTGAGTGCTGGGATTAAAGGCATATGCCACCATCACCCAACTGGGTGTGGTACTATGTAATTGGCCCCTGTGAACTCATAGGGAGTGGCACTATTAGGAGGTGTGGCCTGGTTGGAGGAGGTGTGTCACTGTGGGCTTCGAGGTCTCCTATGCTCAAGCTACATCGAGCTCAGTTGCTTCTTGTTGCCTGTGTGCCAAGATGTAGGACTCTCAGCTCCTTCTCCAGCACTGTCTGCCTGCATGCCACCATCTCCTGTTACGATGATAATGGACTAAACCTCCAAACTGTAAGCCAGCCCAATTAAAAGTTTTTTGTTATTTTTTTTATAAGAGTTATCATGGTCATGGTGTCTCTTCACAAGCAATAGAAACCTTAACTAAGACAGAAATTGGTACCAGGGACTGAGGGATTTCTGGGATAGGCCTGACCATGTTTTTGTTTGGAATTTGGACTAATATGAACTAGAAAGGTAATCGATCACTTTAAGTGCTGCTTAGTGGAACGTACTAGAAAGAGCATGGGGGACCATGGTGCTGAGTGTGGTTTGATGAACTGTGGGGGGGCCTGACTCCAGAGGTTTTGGAGGAGAAGCATTTTAATATGTTGCCCAGAGAGCATGCTTGTGGTATTTTGATCATTCCCGTGGTATTTTGATAATGGTATTGAATTGGTAAGGAATGTGGCTGCCTTTGACCCTTGTCTGAAGAGTCTGCCTCCAGATAAACTGAAAAGTTTTGGATTAATCTTAAAACAGCCTGGTGTAGACTCTGTCCTGTGGTTATTAGTGTTAGCTTGATTAAAGATCTGTAACGGGAAGGAGCGTGCTGAGCAAGTGAAAATATCAAATGTACAATTTGGGGAGAAAAGGGTTCATTTGACCTATCCTTCTATCTTGCTCTTTGCTATTGAAGAAAATGGGGGCAGGATCCTCGAGGCAGGAGTTGATGCAGAGGCTATGGAGGGGAGCAGCTGCTTTCTTATAGAAGCCAGGACAACCACCAGCCCAGGGATGGTACCATTCACCATGGGCTGGGCCCTCCTCCATTGACCACTAATTGAGACAATGCCCTACAGCTGAATCTCGTGGAGACAGTTCCTCAGCTAATGCTCTTTCCTCTCTGATGAGTGTAGCTTCTGTCAAGTTGATACACGAAATGGAGGGCCCTCAAGTTCTGACCACTGGGGGCTAGAGAGATGGCCCAAAGGTTAAGAGCACTTGCTACCCTTTCAGAGGACCCCTGTTCCGTGCCAGTCCTCATATCTGAAGGCTCCAATTCCCTTAAAACTCCAGTTCTGGGGGGGGTCCAGCACACTCTTGACCTCTGTGGGAACTTACACACCTATGTGTATGTGTGACCTCATGCTTGTGCGCACACCCACACAAAAGATTAAAAACTACGTATTCAATTAAAAACAAAAATCCTGTCTGCTGAAAATAGAGGCAAAGTGTTTAATGTCTCCCCGACATGGCTCTTGGTTGTTAAACAGGAAACAGGCTCCTCACCTCCTTCAAACTCTTCCGCATCCACTGGCCGTGTGTTGACTTTAGAAGCCAGCAAGTGTGTGGAAGTCACATGTTAAAGCTGGCAGCACTTTGGGTCATTCTGGGAACAGAACGGTTCCCTCCCCATAACCCTGGGCCTCACTCAGCAACCCACTGAATCTGGGTGAGTGAAAAGCAAATTAATCACACCATTGAGATCTCACCTATTATCTTACCTCGTTATATTATAGGTAAAGAAATAAATCTATATAAATTGATTTGAAAAGATACTTGGGAGAAGTTGGGAAGAAAGCAAGCTGGGTTCAGAATAATTTTTGTGATTTCCAGCTATGAAAAATATGCATGCACCCTTGCGTGAGTAAATATTTCTGTTAAGGAACAGTGATTGTTTACAGGAAATCTTCCTGGAGATTTAGGATGACATGGGGACATTAACTTTTCCATTTACGCCCTTTTGTGCTGTTTTTTTTTTTAAAGGGCATATATTGGAATTAAAACTTGGCTGGGGGGCGGCTGGAGAGATGGCTCAGCGGTTAAGAGCATTGCCTGTTCTTCCAAAGGTCCTGAGTTCAATTCCCAGCAACCACATGATGGCTCACAACCATCTGTAATGAGGTCCGGTGCCCTCGTCTGGCCTTCAGGCATACACACAGACAGAATATTGTATACATAATAAATAAATAAATAATAAATATTTAAAAAAAACTTGGCTGGGCATGATTCCCCCTGCAATCCTGGCACTTGGGAGGCTAAGGCAGAAGAACTTCTGCAGACCTAGGGCCAATCCAGACCGCATCATCCATATCCAGCCAGTTCGGTGTACAGAGTGAGATCCCATCTAAAATAACAGTAAAAAAAATAATAATATGTAAAACGAATCCAGAAAACAAAGAATCCACCCCCACCAGCTTGCTCGCTGTTCAAAAAGAGCAGCTGGGCTCGCGGGCGGGCCTTGATCTCATACCCGTGACCCCTGACCCTCCTCCGACACCTTCCCTGTAACTGAGCCGCAGAGCCACGGGCCGGGAGCGTCCGTGCCTGTGTTGTACAGGGCAGCGTGGGGACCCTGTCACCTCTCATTTCCTACGCGCAGGATTATAACCAAAGCCGGTGGTTTGGGTCTTGCCAACCTTTGAATGTCAAGGGCTCTTATCTTGAGCCCTCCCCTTGCTTTGCGTCTTGGTGCTATTAAAGCATGTCATCTCTTGACAAGCGCTGCCTTCGGCCTCTATATTTAGCCTAGCCAGGGCTGACCACAAATGGTCATGAGGCAGCTTCCCCGTGGTCCCCAGAAGTGATAACAATAGAAATATGGCTACTGGCTGGTTTACTGAGCATCTGCTAGGTGCTGAGCACGGCGTCAGGTGCTTAAGAATAGCAGATAAAATTCCTACACAGGATAAGTGCTTACTCCACTTCTAGGTGGAACACGGGGCTTTGTAATGATATCATATACTGACTGATTGACTACTTACGCTCTGATACAGGGAACCGGGGGCAAACAATGGGGGCCCTATTTCACAGAGGGCATCATTTCACCCCGGTAGGGAATCTATCCTTGGAGTCTTTGTTCCGATACACAGGGCTTCTGTTCCGTACATTTAACGTCAGCCCCGAGTCAAGGTGGTTGGCTCAGCATGGGTCCCCGGCTTTGCAAGTAGCCGGACTGTTGGTGTGTGTCTCTCACCCGTGGTAATGGCTGCTGCCCTGGCCCTTGGCTGTCTCTTTTGCAGAACAGGCTTTGTTTTGGCTTTATCCTGCTTGTCTACATCACTAGCAGCTGAATCCAGGACCCTGGAGGAGGATTCATCGGTCCTTGTCCCGCCCCAGCTGAAAAGAGAGGCTGGAGCTGAGTTTTCAGATTCAGTCGCGGGGAGTGGATGTTTTCCAGCCCCATGATTCGATTCACAAAGTGAGGAGTTCCCAAAATATGAGTTGTGTGCTGACAGCCAGAAAGATCTGCATATGCCCTCCAGGTCTGGCCTGGGGTCCCCGTCTTCCTCCCGCGACTGTCTGATCTTGGACAGAGG